CGATTCTTACACTAACGGCGATAAACGAACTATAGATAAAGAGTAAATGAAATGGTACAAGATCAACCGCCACAACAGACCAACCGGGACCAAGTTTATTAAATTAATTAATTTTCTATAGAAATTTACGACATTCCCCTCCATTTCCAAGAAAAATAACCACACAGAGAATTATTGACAATTAATACAATGTGCGACCCATACGTGGATATCCTCGAACCTATGGCGAAACAAAAATTTTACAGTTGAGAGGACCAACGTTGATCTCTAACTACTAATCCGATTTTGCTCATATTGCACAAGACTTGTCGGATCTCTCAAGACTGCGTTGTGAGCACTAATCCGGGTTCAGCGAAAGCTTTAGAGCAGTACCATGGCTCATCGGAAACGGCCCTGGCTTCCACACTCGCGAAGGCGAATCCTGTCAAGGCGGATCACATCTTGTTGGAAATCTACTTGTTCTTGGCTATAGATGCAGGGGAGCATGCGCAAAAAGTAATATTTCTCAATAATCTCCTAGCCCAAGTAATTAATTTCCAGCTAATGACATAACAATATACTTGCATTCCGTTAGTAGATTTATATTTGTTTGAAGCCCGATTCGCTTCCGAATAACATTCAAATGAAGGAGAAGAAGCATAGTAGCACAATGAAAATTGCATGGTTATTTTTTTTTTTGTCGAAAGAAAATTCTATTCATTGCTTGAAAGGATACATGAGAAGTACATTGACTTTTATGGTAAAGAAAATCGAAGCATAACAAAGCTCAAAATACAACAAAACAAAGCAAAATCTAGAAAATAAGGAGGAGCAACATAGCACCGGCAGGTTAAGCACATATTCATTTCATAAAAATGGATTTGTCAAGCAAAATAATTGGTGGCCGATAATTGAATCTCATATTACCATCAGTGATGAGCACACGCTAGAAAGTCCTTTTCTAATAACTACGGCATTGCTTGTTGACGGTATATGCCTAGGTTCGATTTCCTCTACACCATTATTGTACGGAGACAGCTAAAATGGGTTGAAAAAATACAGATATAACTTTTGAAAAAGCAAATCTTCGTGGTTCAGCGAGACACCGAAGTTCTTACGATCATCATTGAAAATGGAGACAGAGAACCTGTATACAGATAGAGTACGGGAGTATCAAATCCCCGAAAATATTATTAAACTCTCAAATCTAAATTGTGAGAGAAAAGTTCTTAAATTTAGAATTAAATCAAGAGAGTTCATACTTTCAGATCTAGAATTATATCGGGAGAAGAGAGCTCCTAGATTTGGATCGGAAGAGAAGAAAAAACAAGAAAAGAACAAAAATATTCGGACAAAATCAACAGGAGGGGAAGGTTTGAGCTAGTCTCATCCTCCCCATAGCTGAAGCTTGAGGAAGAAGATGGAAAGAAAAGAAAGAGAAAAACTTTTCGGCTTCTGGGTGGTTTATAGTAACTAATTGCATGGTTATTTAAATTATTCCACTAATCTATCAATTTCCTTCCAATGAGATGCACAAGGAATACAAGTCAATCTAATCAATTTCAATCATTGCTTAAGTATATCTTATTTAGTCGATTTACTATTTCCGTGTATGGGCAATATATATTTAGTTTTTGGTAACTATATCGACAAAAACCAAAGTTTTCATATGTAGTGCCCCGGCGGTGGAATTTGGATTTAATAATACCCTAATCATGAAACAAACCTCTCTACAGTAGCCATTAGTGCCGGCTTAGCATGAAGTTTACCTCCTTAAAAAAAGAAAGATGGGGACATACTTGGGTCACTTCAAGAAAGCCATTTTTCGTTCATTTCCTCCCCTTATTTTGCGTGTGGTTTTGATTGATAATCAATCGTTAAACTCAACAAGTCACACCCATTGGAGCCGTCGGCGCAAGCAAAGTAAACCAATTTGCGGACACGTTTGAAGTTTCTTAACGGCAATCCGTGGAGTAAAAATCCAGAAAAATTTGAAGGAGTCCAACGTTTGGCCACCTGTCCCCTACTGTCTCAAAAGACGTTTACCTAATCAGTCAAATTTCCCCCCACCATCTAAATCTAAATCTCACCAATCAAAACACCGCCTGCCCAATTTCAATAATCTCAAGATTAAGCTAATGGATTTGCATTTATGTTGTCCAACACGAAAAAGGGTATGCCGTCACCTTCGTATGCAGAGCATATTCCATTGCAGAAACTTTTATTCTTGAAAGCGTTGGGACTGTGTAAGGATAATATAATGTTTTGTCGTGTCTTTGTGTTGCATTAAAAATCATATGACAACAATATGAAGGTTGACCAGATCGAAAATTTTTAAAAAAGAAACGAAAATCAAGAAATTGTAGAAGGACGCTTGTCGAAATTTCTTTGGATGCAATTGTTTCGAGAGAAGATGTGTATCAAATGGGTTAATTTTATATTGTGAGATTATCATAATTATTTCACTTATCGAATGGTGAGTGATAGCTAAAAAAAAATTAAGGTGAAAAAGATTTTTACTAGATAGTTTTTGATAGAATGCTTTCCATCAACATACATGTATATGGTAGGTACTTATAGAACGAGATTATTTTAGGAGGATTTCATGAACATTGCAAGGCCAATTTGTAGCCAGGGGGATCGAGGAAGTTTGTTGACGAATTTAATGGCTAGTTGGTGGTTGGACTGGCGGTGGGGCCGCCGCTATTGGCGGTGGCAGCAGTCGTTGTCCGGCCGTGTCTTGTCATACGGACGACGGCATGCTAGCTGCAGAGGGCTTCTGTCCCTCTGGGGGCAACGTGACCTCGGCCTATCTTTCTGTACATTTATTATATCATTCAATCTTTTTGATCTGTCGGAGCTAAGATTTTGCAAGTTTTTCATTTTCACCTTCCTTTATGATATAATTTTCACGTGTTCGCAGCGAACTAGTTGATGTTGGTGGTAAAATTATATTGGAATTTATACGTGAAAATGATGAAGCATTCTTTTGCTTTTTAAACTAGCTAATTCAAGAATTGGAGATTTGATTATCTCGAGACCCATGAAATACCATGTATATTCCATTAATCGGTAAGTTTTGGCCTTTGGGTTGTAGGTATGGCTCTGTGATCTGTGTACATAACCTTAACTTGAGTTGAAAATCTTCCAATGCCTCAACAAATCGCGTCAATCTTCACGGTTGGAATGTCGTTCTCCTCCGCAGAGAAACACATCACTCCAATCATTCTCTTGGGATAAATCATGAGAGTCAAAAGGAAACCCGCATATTTCGACATGACAAATTTGTCCTCGGTCTTGCGTTACCAATGACTAGGGATAATAGAAATGGGAAGTCAAAGATCTGGAAAAAAAATTGGATAATTCAACAAAAAGCAAGGGACGAATCGTTTGAAAACTGCTTTCTGAATTATTTTTGAAAATTACATCAGAAAATGCCAATTTTGCATGATATACATTCACCACTTCTTGGAATAAATCTAATAACTCATGCAACATTGGTATCGCATGGCACGTTCCAATGATAAGAAGAAAGGTCAAGCACGGCCCTCATTACTTTTTTTTTTTTGGTCAGCGCCCTCATTACTTTATGGGTCATACGTTCTCTATGCATTAATTCAGCTCCTATTCATGGCATAACCTACGAACGGTCGGTCCACATTGACCAGCCTCATCTGCATGAAATCAGGTAGGTTGGGGGATCGGGAGCATTAATTCCATATTTTCCCACCTACATGAACTATATATATATATATATATATATATATATATATATATATATATATATATATATATATATATATATATATATATATATATATATATAAAAATGGGTCGATGACGTCACAATTGCAATTAGTTAAGGCGAGTGCTGAGGGGCCAAAACGATTTTTTTGCTCATAACGTAGGACAGCTCATGTTATCCACCATATTGGAAGTTCATCAAATCGCCATCGACAGTGAGCTGATGAAATTATAAAAGCTAATAATAAAGCAAAGAAATGCACGCAATCTTCTTTATCATTAGAAGGAGATGTAAGAATTTAACAGGTATATAATCCACTACATAATGTGGCAACGAACACAATCGACAAAAATTGCAAACAAAATTTCTACATCAGTGCTGGCCACCCATGCCACATAGGACAGCCGGCACTGACTAGACCACTATATAAGCGATTTTTGGCAATCCGAAAGGATTAAATTGACAAATCGTCAAAATGTTTATAACTAAACTGACACAATTGAGATATTTATGACTAAATTGGCAAATTGTCAAAAAGGTTTAGGACTAAATTGGTGCAATTGAAAAATTTAGGATGATTTGACTACACTACAATAGGTTTATAATTTTTTGAACATATTTCCTCAATATTTTAATTAAAAATCTCTTCATTATTTCGTAATGAAACCCACAACCTAAAAAAAAGTCGTACACTTCCCTCCATTTAATATCGGAGTCTTAATTATTTGATCATTTTGAACTTACAAAATGGTTCAAATAGGGCCGCATCAATAGACATTATTTAAAAGAAAATTCTCAACAAACGTCACTGGGTATCGTCCATCATCTGATGTATGATTCATAATTATGGATGATAATCCACCAAATGTTTTCTCTTCTTCCGTTAAAAAAAAAAAAGTTATCCCACGTTATATGATCACCTCTATTCTTTCACCCAAAGAATTCACAATAGGTACACATTTTTTTCTGTAAAAATTTCACTTTCAAGCAATCACGTCATAAGCGCAAGGCGACGCTTATCTAACACTTTCTCAACATGGCAATAACTTGAGTGACATTGACTACATCGTGGCGCAACGTTTTGATTGAGTCCCACTCCAATCACCCATCTCATTCACCACATGGATTTGTTGCTTCCTTAGCCTTTGCCTTTGCCTTTCCCTCTCGTTTCAGGCAAATCAAACCATTAGCGTCTACTTAATCTAACGAGAGCATTCCCGTGGCCAAAGGACAAGAACGGACCTTCCCCCGCCCATATTTATGGATGACCTAACCTCCCTCTCTCCTTCCTTCCCACGCCAAACCAACTTCCTCCTCCTCCATCCTTCTCATGGCTCTTTAAATGCTCCTTCACCCACTTCGGTGGATGTTGCAGTCGCTCCTCCACCCCTTCCAACCTTCTCTCTCTCTCCAAGGCACGCTCAAGAACACGCAGAGAGAGAGAGAGAGAGAGAGAGAGAGAGAAGCGAAGAAACCCTTTGTGTTTGCCCGTTTCTTGATTCATTCCTTCGTGGGGTTGTCGCTTGTTGCTTATATATTGTCGTCGGGGGCGTGCGGTCCGTGCGGTTCGTGCGGACGATGAGTGCTGGCGAGGGAGAGATGGTTGTTTGGAGGAGGAAGTCGGGAAGTGAGGCCATGGATCATCGAAAGCTCGGCGCCGGGTGCTGCTCTGATGATGATGACTGTGCGGTCGTCAAGAACGGAGAGAAGAAGGCGGCTCCTGGGAGCCCGAAGAAGGCGAGGCGGTACGCGCTGGTGTCATTCTGGGAGCTGCCGGAGTACATGAAGGACAACGAGTTCATCCTCCACCACTACCGCGCCAACTGGCCGCTGGCCGAGGCCGCCCTCAGCTTGTTCCGTTGGCACAATGAGACGGTCAACGTTTGGACGTATGGATGACTGATGTGTTTTTAGTTTGATTTGTTTTGTCATGCGAGCCCAACTTTGCTCATATTTTCTTCTTGAGTTCATCTCTCTCTCTCTCTCTCTCTCTCTCTCTCTCTCTCTCTCTCTCTCTTGTGATTTGTGGTGATCTCTTTTGCGTTGTGTGCGATGGGGGAGCAGGCATTTGATTGGGTTTCTGGTGTTTCTGGGATTGACGGTGGCCAATTTTGTGGACGTGCCTCAGGTTGCTGATCTTCTCGGCCTATTCTCAAGGTGTGTTTTGTATCATTCAATCCTATACTATATTAGCGTGCACATTTTAGTGAGTTCTGATTTATCGATATTTGTATTTAGCAACTTGTCCGTCCCAACTCGATGACATCAGATGGAACCCATAATTTCTAGTGAGGAATTTATCAGTAGCAGCGAGATCTGTGTTGACTATCATAGCTCGATTTCACTGTCTCAAGTGTAATCTAAGATGAGGCTCGTAGGTGCAAGTCATAACTCACTAGAGAGCTTGCTAAATTGCTCATTTGGTGAAGACGTTTGAGTTACCCTGTTTTGATCAAATCCTCCATAACCAGCTTAAAATTGTCGAATTTCACAGTCACAACCGCTTAGATTTTTCCTACCTGTTTGTTAGCAGAAAGGCGCTTTTAGTAGGTACAAGTGAATGTAGTATTGTGATATTCGTGGCTTGTTACCATGCCGAGCAACCGGCCATTTTCATTAGCTGACCTTTCTTGCAACCAGAAACCAAAATTGCCATTTCATTTTCTTTTGGTGCTGAATCGAAATTGCAGGTGCTACAGATGAATAACTCGAGTTTGTGACATTAATTGCAGGCACATAAAATTAAACTCAGAAAGTTTGTTTCATAGGAATATACAAGGGTTGTGCTCGCCATTTTTATTGTTGCTAAATTTCAGGAGTAGTAGTAGTCTGACAGTCAAGACAGTCTTGTTCAAATAGCAAGTGCAAAATTAAGATGGATAACAAGAGTCATCTGTGATTACTTACCATGATGGATCAAAGTACTAATAGAAATTTTCGTTCTTTTCAGAAAGAAATAAAAGATCAAACCCATCGGAAAATCTCTCTCTGTTCCTGGTAATACAACATGCATTCAGTCAAACCGTCAATGGATAATCATTTTCCACGCGAGTAGCACTGTGTCTAGAAAAAGTTCACACATGGTGGACCTTGTAATAAACTATTGCAGAATGCTCTGAATGTTGATTGCTGCTAAGACTTTCTGAACGAAATCACAATGGTAAATAACTTTTATAGTGAAGAGTAGTACACTAGTTGTCAAATTGAATTTGAAAGTATCAACTTAAGCAAGCTAGATAGTTATTCAGTTAGTGCTCTGCCCATTCACTTTCACCGTTTTGGCCTACTCTCTCCCTTCGGCAGACAGGATCGAACCATTTTCTATAAATTATGATCTGAAGATTGGACTCCGACTAGTGTACCATAGATTATGCAATGGCTTGATATGCAAACCCACTTGTGCAGGTCAAACTCTACCAGTGCAGGAAATAATATCTCTTACTCAAAGGAATTGCTTTTGGTGAGTGGCGGGCCAACGATGTTTCATTCGACTTACGAAAAGAATACTCTCTTTTGAAGTCTACAGATGTATCTAACACTATAGTTTTCAGGGTACAAATTCTTTGTTGAACTTGAATCAGATAACAGAAGAAGATTTGAAGATCGCTTCTCTCCAACCAGCCGCAACACGGTGGCCGTTCTTTGTCTTCTTAGGCGGATCCATGTTCTGCCTCCTCTCAAGCAGCATTTGCCACCTTTTCTCATGCCACTCACACTGCTTGAACATCCAGCTGCTGCGGATGGACTATGTCGGCATCACGGTCATGATCATCACCTCATTCTTCCCCCCAATCTACTATATTTTCCAGTGCGAGCCCCATTGGCAACTGATCTACCTTAGCGGAATAACGGCAATGGGGATGTTCACTGTCGCGACACTGCTTGCCCCTTCTCTTTCTTCTGGGAAATTCCGGGCATTTCGGGCAATGCTCTTCTTGTCCATGGGGTTTTTTGGCATTGTTCCCGCGATCCATGCCTGTATTGTGAATTGGAGTAATCCCCAGCGCCCGATCACGCTTGCTTATGAGTTGGCCATGGCACTGTCTTACATTACAGGTACTTTGTTTTATGTTAGCAGGATTCCCGAGAGACTAAAACCGGGTTGGTTCGACCTTGCTGGTCACAGCCATCAGATATTTCACGTTTTTGTGATCATGGGTGCCTTGGCTCATTATGGTGCTACTCTGTTGCTCTTACAGTGGCGAGATAGAGTCGGGTGTGATAGAACTGTGTAACAATACAAAAATTAGTCAAAATTCGATTCATTTCGATTGAACCGAATGCAAGCGATTTGCTGGAGTTTCGTGTTATTATGTTGTTAGTGTGTGCACACCCCAAATCAAAAAGCCTCAAGGAGAGATGGCGTTCCATGACAGAGGAGATGCCTCCATTCATTACGAAGTGGAATGCTCATTGTATTTGTTATATTTTTCTCATTTTCCATGGACGATTTGATTTACAACGTGATCATATTCGGGTAATAATCTTTTCTGCTTTCATCTTATTTTCAGCTGTTTGTGAGTAGTTGCTCTATAATTTTAGTTTGACCACTATTACTTTTTTTTTTTTTGGCTAAAGAATACTACCACCACCACCATGAGAATAGTTTTATAAGCGCTATATCGTCCTCTGTACGAAAGAAAAAAAGCTAGAGCGGGAGGATGATGAATTCTTTGTGTGGTTAATTTTAAGAAGACAAATTATGACCCAATACAACATATAGAACTGCTAAGAGTCTACCTAATAGGGTTCGGGAAAAAGCAACAGAAGTAAGCAAATAGAAATTGCGGACGTGAAACTTGCTTTAGCCCATTTGCAATCTCTGCATCCATCAAGAAGGAGGCGTTGTTAGGAAGGAAAAACTCAGACGATGTAATTTCCACCTTCAGCGAAGTTTCATTCTGGCGGTAATGGTACTTACTCTCGAAGAAGAATCAGTTAAGTATTGGCAAAGTCAGTTGACAGCCGATCTGGCTTCGGAAAAATCAGCCACTTCAATGGTAGTGTAAAAGAGTCATGAAAAAGATGCGGTTAGATATACTGGCGTACCTTAGAGATTCTCAAGGAAAATCAGAGAAGCACTCCTCAATCTGTGATGACAAGTCACGGCCATAGCTATGAATTATTATTCTTCATGGTTATTGTATCTGTGATCACAGTGATCTTTCCTTAAGTTCACAACCAAAAGAAAATCTGATGATACTCCATATCCAAATTTATAGGAAAAGACAGACAATATGATGATCCGAGGGTTCAACATGCATAGTGGAGACTCGAGATGTTCAAATGCTTGCAAGCATGAGGTCTGCTAAGGAAACAATCGGATATCCTTACAAACAAAATTGAACACGTTGATATAGTACGAGTTGAAGTAGAGAAAAACAACGACCCCGCCCAATGCCACCATGTATGATCCAGCGAAACTCCATAAGAGGGCTTCCTTTGAGGACTCATCATCTCCGCCTATGTCAACAGTTGACAGAGTCCACGGACTGTCATTTGAGCTTTTATAACTTATTAATGGTGGTCCACAGAGAAGAGGGTTACTTTCATAAATTGCTTCATTGAAAGCTGAATTGATTCTTTCTGTCTAGCGTCTTGCCTGACCAGTTGTGAGCAAAGCTAAAAAGCGAAAGTGCGTATAGCTCTCTCACTTGCGGAGGAATATAATCGGACCTGTTAACTTGTTGCAGGAAAGGTCCAAGCTCTCTGTATTCCTTAATTTGGAGAATTTTTCTGGAATTGATCCCGTCGAATGATCATGCAACAGATTTAAGACATATTTCGCTCAAATAATCGATTTTTAGAGGAATAAAGCCCATCAAATTATTGTACGAGAGATCCATTCCAGAAAGATATTCTAGAAAGTTGCCCTTTTAATATTCCAATTTACTCTTTGACATGAAGGTCGCTTCTCCTAGTTCATCCGAAAAAGCATTTGTACCGCTACTATCATAGAAAAATGATAAACCAAGTTTTTCCCTCGTACTAGTGGAGCTGCCAATACTTCGCGTTTTCACTCAAAGAATCGAATGTGCTATTAGATATCCCACCATATCCAAATGGAAAGTCCTCCAAACAAGAAGGAACTTCTCCAGAAAGGCCCTTATAAGAGAGATCCAGTATGCTCATCTTGGTCAACTGACAAAGAGCTAGAGGAATCGAACCTTCAAAGTGGTTTCCTTTCGGTAGAAGAAACTTCAAGTTCCAAAGCAAACTGATCCAGCTGAGCATCTCACCTGTCATTGCATTTTTTGTAGAAACGATGGACAAAGCTCTAGAAAGAAACTGAGGAAAAAGCCTGGTGACCTCATCTCTTTGTTAATGCAAGAACCTCATAAATCTGACATTGGCACGGTGGGGTATTGGACCGAAATTTGTTACTCCAAAGGTATAAAAAAATGAGAGGATTCAATTTGCAAAAGCTAAATAATAAAGGACCACGCAGTAAGTTTCCTGACAACATTAGAAATTCCAAAAGTTGAATATCTCCAATCCAGTTTGGTATTGGTACGGACAAGAAATTATCGCTTAGATCCAAAATCTGAGCTATCCAAAATGCCAAGTGATATATCCCAGTGAATAGATTGTCGTCCAAATACAAATATTTCAATCTTGTCAAGTTAGTAGTTCATGGTCGGCCACGCAAGTTCTTGTCTAAAGTTTTAGCATAGATGGTGAGACCCAACCTATGGCCAGTGGCTCTGGCATCTCCCCTGGGAAGCTGTTGTTCGACCAATCTAAGGTCGTCAACAATTTCATATCACCTACATATGGATAGATTCTACCTCCTATCGAGTTCCTTGACAGGTTTAGGTACCGCAAATTCGGAAGGATGGAATTTATCTGAGATGGAAGTGCTCCTTCGATGCTAAAGGCAGATGTATCGAACCAACACATGTGGACAAGATTTGACTTGGATGGCCAATGAAAAACACCCGACAAGTTGTTGCCAGTGAGTTTTAACTCCACGAGATTCACCTTATTTTGCAATAGCCAATATCAACACCATTGAACTCCACCTACACAGCACTAACAAAGAACAATTCACGATTTTATGTTGAACTGTTGTATTGCGTCATTGCCTGAGTCAATATCCGTAATGTATGTAGCTCAGCATAATGTGCTCTCTTTTTTGTAGATGACTATAAATATAGCTCGACACAGATTTCTTCTAGATGAAAGGGGTGACAGGGTTGACCCTTGACAAATATTCTATGTTGGTTTAGTTTGAACACGACATTAAGGTGATGGGAAAAGAAATGCTAACACAATTATTGATGCTGATACATATGCAGTCGCTCTTAAAATTCTACGAATAGAGTCGAACCAATCCTCTAAGCAATTTTTGCTTAGTATTGGTTTAGCTTAGTTCTCTATCTATAAACCTTCATCAAGCAGTGAGCACTAGGGTGGGCTCAAGCTGCAGAGCAGTGGTCCTGAAATGCATGCCTTTGTCATCAAACAGGAGCAATTCCCCACGCCCAATCCTTTATGTTAGTAGGATCCTGTCTTGAGACCCTAAAACCAAGTTGGTTCGATGTTGCTGGTCGCAACCATCAAATATTTCACATCTTGGGCAATATTTACAGGAATTTGTCAATGCTGGATTCATTTCAATTGTGAACTAAACTGTTTTCTCTCAATTCACAACCATATCAAAATCTCCTAATATTCAAATGAGTAGCACAAGAAATATGATAACACTCTAGAAGCCAAGCGTTCAAAATGCATAATATAGACTCAAATGCTTACAATCCTATTACATAAAGGTGCTCCGCTGGTTCATCATGTTTTTCCATCACAAAATGCTTAGAAGAACAATCTCTATAGGGGAAATGATGGGATAAGCTTACGAACAAGCTCGAACAACACATACTGATAGTATGAGTTTAGATAGAGAAAAAGAACCACCCCAAGGAATGCCACGACATATGATCCTGCAAAACTCCACAAGAAGGCTTCTCTCCAGGGGTCATCCTCCTTGGTATTATTTAAAGATGGTGGCGTCCACTGTTCCCGATTTGAGTCATCACAGCTTGTTAATGGTGGTCCACAAAGAAAGGAGTTACCTTCATAACTTGCTTCACCAAAAGTTCCAAATTGATTTTTTCGGTCTGGTGTCCTGCCTGACAAGTTGTTATGAGCCACTCTAAAATCTGATAGGGCATAGAGCTCTGTCAGTTGTGGAGGGATGAGACCAGTTAAGCTATTGTAGGATAGGTCCAAGCTCTCTACATTCTTCAAATTGGAAAACATTTCCGGGATTGGTCCCATCAAATTATTGTGTGACAGGTTCAAGGCTCGAAGTTCACTCAAGTGGCCAACCTCTGGAGGAATAATGCCTGTCAAATTGTTCCGCGAGAGATCCATTCCTGACATGAGTTGTAGAATGTTGCCCTTATACGATTCCAACCTACTCTTGGTCATGAAGTACACTTCATCTAATTCAAACGTAGATGCAAGTGTGTAACGTCCACCAGACAACCACATGCCTAAGGTAGCAAATGAGTCTGTAGATACCTCATCATTTCCAAATCTCAGATCTTTCAAACAAGAAGGGATTTTTCCAGAAAGATTATTATTGGAGAGGTCCAATATGCTCATATTTTTCAATAGACATAGATCCAGAGGGATTGAACCTTCAAAATTATTTCCTTGTAGTAGAAGAAACTTCAAGTTCCTAAGTGAACCAATCCAACTGGGAACCTCACCCGACAATGCATTGTGCCTCAGATCCAATGTGACAATCGATGAAGCTCCGAAAAGAAACTTAGGAAAATGCCCAGCAAGCATGTCATTTGTTAAATGCAAGAACCTCATAACTGTAACATTGGCACAAGGGGGTATATAGGGCCCAAGGTCGTTACTTGAAAGGTCTAAAAGAACCAGATGATGTAAGTTGCAAAAGCTCAATGATAAAGGACCTCCCAGTAAGTTACTTGACAGCATAAGCCCCTCCAAGTATTGCATATCTCCAATCCAATTGGGAAGTGTCCCAGATAGGGAATTATTACTTACATCCAAAACTTGCAAAGAGGAGCTATTTAATATACAGGGTGATATGTCCCCTGTGAAACGATTGCTATCTAGATGCAGAAAATGCAAGCTTGTCAAGTTAGAATGCCTCGGTAGCATTTGGCCTTGCAAATTGTTGCCGGACAATTTCAATGTATAAAGTGACTTACAATTTTCAGCCAGTGTCTCCGGTATCTCTCCTATGAAGCCATTATATGACAAGTCCAATGAAAATAGTTGTTTCATATTGCCCATTGAGGCTGGGATTCTACCATTCAATAAGTTGCTTGACATGTTCAAAAATTGCAAATTCGGGAGGATAGAACCAATCCAAGATGGAAGCTCTCCTTCAATGATATTAGCAGACGCATCGAAAAACCACATGCTAACCAGATTCAAATGGGAAGGCAAAAAAAAAGCACCTGAGAAATTGTTGCCTTTGAGATTGAACCATTCTAGGTTTACATTGTTGCGCAATAGCCAATTTGGGAAATATCCTGTCATTCCACTTTGGCGGAGTAGAACACATCTCAAGTTATATTGTTCTTTCAGAAAGCTGGGAATTACGCTATTTGCATCTTTGTTGAGCACACAGTCTGACAAACCAAACTTCTTCAATTGAAATGTAGGAAACCAAGTGGGCTCTTCCGTATTTACTTCTAGACTATTATGGTTGCCAAAAAGGAGGAATACCTCAAGGTTAGAGTTATTAGCCAAGGAAGCAAGAGAAAGTGAGCCTTCAAAAGCATTTTCAGAAAAGTCAATATATTCAAGTGACTTGAGATTACAAAGGAGACATGAAGGAATGGCCCCGCTAAAATAGTTATGTAGAATATCAAGCGCACGGAGTGAGGTCATATTGCAGAAGCATGAAGGAAGAGGGCCCCAAAATCCATTAACACTAATATCCAACTCTTCAAGGTTCCTCAATCCACATAGGCCTGTTGAAGTGGACACTACAACTATGAGTATCATCACTAAGTTATACTTGTATGATTAAAACACTCAAGATCATGGTTTTTGTTGAGAATGGAGAATAGAATGATTGTGCAATCTAATATCTAAGATACAAACAAAAAATTTGGTAAATGAAGATTTTCACTTGAGTCACATCACCACAAATGCTTCATTTCCACTATTCTTTAAATTACATTAATTATAACAAAAAAGGAGAAGCTTAATTACTTCCAGAGTTTGACAAATTTGAATTGGATTGGAAATGAAGACTAAAGTTGATATTAATCCTATATATAAGGCATAATTGCATGGGCAGCCTCTAAACTTTGCTCGGCGTTCATTTTAGTTTCTTAAATTTTTTTGCCAATTAAATTAGGGGTGTGCAAAACGAATTGCCCAAACCGGGAATTGCTTGGACTAGACCGGACCAGACTGGCCAGTTTGGTCTAGTTCTCGGGACATCATTCTCTACATACTTGACTCGGCTCGAATTCAACCCATATTACAAAACACATCTATATGTAACTCAATTTATGAGAACCCATACACACCAATTTGATGTACTTTAAGTTGTTCATGTGACTATATTACTTGGATAAAAACTTTATGTCAAATAAAAAAATGTAAATTAAAAAAAAGGTTAGTAAATTAGATAAAAAATTTAAGAAAAACCGAAAGATTGAAATATTTATAAATGGTTGGAAAAGTATACATACATTGTGACGATACGTACCCTGAATGCATGTTTTATTGATTCAAGTCAATTTAACCTTTTTTTTTTCTATCGCCAAATTCAATTTATCACTTAAAGATATAATAAGAGGAAGTAATATATTGTTTTAAATGTTATTTTTGTAGCGATCCTATGTACATATACTACAACAATTACACCTTCCTCGACCAAATGCAGCAATTTTATTTTTTGACCGGCCGGTTTGGTCCGGGCGGTCCGGTTCCCAATTCCCGATTCCAAAGGGAACCGAGCCGAATCAGACTGATCGAACCGGACTGACTACCTATACTTTTTTATTTCTTCAAAAAAATTAGTAAAATGTGAACTAAATCCTAAACGAAATACGTTTTTTGGTTCCTCTTTTCAATTTGCGAATCATTACTGAAGTTTGATCATTCATGGTTGCAAAATAATCATTATCTCTCGATGACTGGTGGGTTTAATTTATTGTTTTCAATATGCAATTTATAAATCTGCTTTTTAATTTTTGTCTATCGTAGAAGATATATGAACACATAGTTAGGGTCCTTTTACTCATATCTTTTTTCTAAAAAAATATTGGGAGACACGAAGATATGGCATCAAGTAGTGAAAAAAAATCCATCAGACCGGACTGGTCTAGTCCCCGATTCCCAATTTTGGAAACCGGTCCTCCTGGTTCGATTTATAGTTCCATCTTAGAATCGAACCAGATCGGAAATCGATCACCCCTAAATTAAATCTTTTACTTGGCAAAAACGAGGCAATGTGATCCCCCGTTAAGTGCAGCACGAGATCACGTGTTTTTTTGGCTGACATGCCCGCCAAGTCAGCAGCGGAGGCCCCCCAAAAATCATGTGGACTTGCAATTCACTTTTTTTCTTCTCTGTTTTTTTTTTTTTCATCGTGCTTGCTTTTCCTTTCTCTTCTTCTTTCACTTCCATTCCTCGGCACCCATTCACCACCGCAACCTGCCGTCCTCCGTCACCTTCCGCACCATGTCCCAGCTCACTGTCCATCAGCACCACCTTGTTGCTTGTTCATCCCGACCATCCCCCTCTAGGCCTTGGATTTGAGGGGCGTGACCTCAGTTCTTAAGCATTCCAGCCTCCAATTTGAGGCCACACTTCAGATCTGAGGTCATCGTGGCTCACACCAAAGGTCGTGTGGGTTTTTCTAGCAGTTGTGATGTCGAATCCGGTGGTGGTAATAGCGACCGAGCTTCATGGTGTGATGATGCGACTGAGCGCCGCAGTGGGCGGAGGCAGCAATGGGCAGTGGTGCTGAAGATGCTGAGCTTTTTTAAGGGCGAATGAGTTTTTAATATTATAAATAATTTATTCTTTAATTACATTAATTTCCTTAATGGAAAACAGTTTTTCACTTTTTTCAATCTTAAAATCATTGAGAGATAAATGTTGAACGAGATAATCTTGGAATGATATAAGTCGTTTCAAGATATTTTATCTTTAGTTGTGGTTTTCATATTTAGTCTAAAGAGATAAAGTTTCAAGAAAAGCAAGTCCATAGTTAGAACGTATTGGCCGAATGCATCCCATGTGGAAAATTTTCGCCGCAATTCATGCCGCATGACAATTACATATATGAGTGAAGTGGCATGTGTGGAGTAAACTTACATCAAATGGTTTAAATTATAATGTTAAATTTATAATTCAAGATATACTATCTCTATTTACTTTTTCTCAAATTTAAAATGAATGAGATATAAAGTTGAAAAAGATAAATCTCGGAAAATATTTTCAAGGTAATTACTCTTTATACTTATTTTTTAAATTTAAACTTGATCAAGATAAAAAGCTTGTTTATGACAAATTAACAGGCCAATACTTATAAGTCGAAGTGAAGTGCCACATGATGAGCATAGGAACAAACATAACTCCAACTTTAAATAAATAAATAAATATATATATATAAATAATATTGGTAGATAAGTGAAAGCTTACTTATTAAGTGAAATTTATTCAAATCAGAGATAAAATCTTCAATGACAAACCAAAACGATAAAACTTATTTACTAAGTAAATTACAATCATGTGATGAAATAAGCTAAATTTGAAATGATTTATAGGATATATTTAAAAGTTTCATGATTAACTACTACTAGAAATTGTTTGCTTGATATAGTATTTATAAGTAGCTTTCTAAGTTAGTCATGTCATTTAAGATTATACTTTCTCTTTATTCATTACGTGAAATTCAAATTAATAGGAGAGAGAATTTTGCTAATGAAAAATCAGTAAGCTAATACATATTTTTTGGTCGCATTTGGGTCACTTGGTAAAAATTGAGCAATGTGCCTTGCCACGTCGGAATCACAAAGATAAAATGAAGTGTTGTGTAAAATATGCTTTCTTTCATTTTTTTAATATTTGAAATGATAAGATATTGAAGTTTGAGACGACAGAACAATTAGCTAAAAGCTCATTTGTTCGATGTAGGCCATGTTGCACATGTATGCTATGTATCTTGTCACATTGCTATCACAAAGGCAAGGTGAAGTGCTACGAGTCAAGAACATGAGAAATCATTCCCTCAGCTATGGTTTTAATCGTGCATAAGGGATAATAATAGATTAGTAGATATATATTTGTCCAAATGAACATCTTATAGATGACATGTTTATTTATTTTTCAGTGGTGCTCATTCGTAAAGGCTATCTATGGGCTTATCAAAATGTGACGCCTGAACATATTGTTTTTTTGACATGCCCAATCTTGAACATCTTATTTTTTTCATTTATTCAATCGTATTATATTCAAATAAGAGAGAGATTATAAAAGAAAAAGAAAAAACAATGAAAAGATATTAGAATCAGACCAATCAATATATAGCTAGTTGGGATCATGAAAGAAAAAGAGATTTTTTCTGTCAACTGTGCTTTGCCTTTTGATAGCATAATCACTATTAATCAAATGCAACCTTTCCCCTTTGTCATCCGTGTCAAGTGTTACTTGCAAATCAAATTAGTAGATTTCGAAACCTTGATACGCTTATTGTGCTTGCATTTATATTGGTAATTTAATCAAGAAGTATTACCATAAACAACACATGATGTGCGTCTTTTGTTGCTTTGTGAAAAGTACAAAATAATTTGTTTTTTACTATACGTACCGTCAATATCTATAATATCTTAATTTAAAAATAATACAAGAAACTATGTGTCCACAGTTGTGCATGTCACTGGAGTTTCGACTTAAGAAAAAAGGTCAAAGTGAAAGATCCACAAGATTTAGAATAAGCACAAAGAATAAAGTAAAAATCAATCTAAACATGTTTGAGCTTTAGTGTCATTTAATTTCTTAGGCATCATGGCTTAGTTGAATTTATCAACACTTGCAATCCCTGAAGTTTGACTGTCATTGTGTTTTAAGATGTAAACTTTAAGTATTGTTTGATTTTGATTCCCAATTGACTTTTGCATTTAATTTGGTTATGATTCATGTACAATATTTGAACTCCTTTGGGAAATTTGTCATTTCAGACTATTTGTACATTATTAGCAATAACTCCTTGCTTCTGTTATGTTATCACACTATTCTTCGGATTGGCCAGTTAAAAAGTTGAACGCCATTAAAAGCATGGAGCCCAAACTTCAATCTTCAAAGGTCAGGGATTAAATTGAAAATGATCAAACTTTAAAGGATGACCGACATAATAATCCCACAATTAAGACATTGAGCATGACATAGGTTTATCGGTGGCTTCCCTAGACATTCAACTAAATTCTTGCAACTTCAAGCATAAGTCAAACAACTATATGTGCTTCTATGATATCACTTTATAATTATAGTTGGTTTGCGCTAAGTTATTTGAAGAAAATGTGCAGCCAAAATTGATCTCTGGGGGTTGTTGAATATAATGCAGTCATGCTTTCTATGTTCCAGAAAATCTTACCGTATCTTAATTTTAAAAAGATGATAAAAGAAAGCATTTTCACATAAGTACCTTCTAGTAACTTTGCTGCATTGAGTCCACAAAAACTGACGTCTAAGACCTTAAGAGATGTTATCCTCGTAATGTCCTCGAAGGCATCATTGATCAAATTGTTACCAAAAAGATCCAGTAGCTCCAGATTCATACCTGTGAGTGACAAAAGGTTCTCAAAATCGAATTTTATATATCAAGGCACAGTCTTCTATTTTACACATACCTTCAAGCTGATTGGAAGACAAAATTTGGGCCTCTGTTGAAGTTTGCTTGTACAATGAGGGGATTCGTTCTAATTGATTGAAAGATAGAAATAGCTTCTTCAATTTCTTCAGGTGTAGTGTTCCATTTAACTCTGATTATGAAAAGATCCATATGGTTAATTAATTATCTACAGATATCGGATGTCTAACTATCTTCAAGGTATCGAGAATAGCCATACTCTCATGACAAGGATAATTGATTTAAAAGCAGAAACCAGTTGGTCTGATATATTCGAGCATAAAAAAAGTCTCTATCACATGACTTTATAAACCAATTTCATTAACAAGTAAACATCCACCATTAACAATGTCTACCATATGTAGTTAACTAGCAGTGCTAAGACAATGGTCTCTCATGTGCTCTCCACGTAATATTTGACTTTACCTCTATAATTGTCGTGTGACATTTGATTTTATCTCCATGTGGTAAGATACCCAGGTTTTGCCATCAGGGCCAAGTTCGATCAATAAGTATTAGTTCAATTATATGTCGTCTTCAAATTTCTATTTCTTTTAAGTTTAAATTTCAAAACATGAATACAGCAAAAAGTTTTCACTCATATTCTTGAAAACACACTTTATTTTGCCATTCCCAAACTTTAAAATCTTATTACTTTAAAGTCAAAAAATGCATAAAGAGAGATTATCATGTTCTCTAATATAGAAAATATTCTTCCAACAAAGAAATCCACTGCATTTAAAACTCAACAAAATGCAACAAACTAGTGATAAATTTTATTTGTTTGGGTGCAAAATGCAAATAAGTAGATCTTTATAATGGAAAAAAGGTCAGTAGTTCGTAAATCATTACTTACTGATGCATTATGACTTTACTCTACTCTTAATGTATACATAATTTATAAATTTACAATTTGAAATACATCGAAGGTGAAGGTGGGAAAGAAAAAAGAAATTGCTTGATAAGATCATGAGTCCCCCGAATCCCTCACAATCCCATTATATGAGGGATTTAAAATACATATTAACTTAACAATCTGATTCCTTCTAATCTTTTCTAATCCTTTTTTCGGCCCATTTTATTCTCTCCATTCAAACAATACAGTACCTTTAAAATCATTTTTCTTCCCTCTATATTAAATCTCTCACCAATCTATTTTTGATGATTTTTAAATTTAATTTTTTCATGTTTTGTAAATCATATAGCACCCGCAATTTGACTTTTATTTATCATGAAACACTCAAAACCTTTCATAAAATATGTAAATATTGATCTAAAATCTACGTATAGCTCTTTGGTAATCTGATGAAACTTGATTTTCTTTTTCTTATTTTTGAATCTTGAGAGAAAGTGATTTGGTCCACTTCCAAACAAGTCCCCTTCAAGTCAACTTTCTTGGGATGCCAACTGCAAACAAGTGGACCTTTCATGACGGAAAACTAGTCAGCATTTCACGAATTATTTCTTATTGAGCTAATTCTATTTTCCCTCTTCCCACTTGCCCTCCTGGTAGAGAGAGAGAGATAGAGAGAGAGAGAGAGAGTCACCTGAGAGAGAATTTGTACTTAAATCCAACTCTTGAAGTTCCACCAGTGGAATGAATAAAGAGGCGTGAATAACCCAAGGCCCAGACTCTCGCAATTCCCAATCGCGTTTACCGCCCAGATGTAGTTGAGTAACCCGCAAAGTGGTGTTATCGCACTCCACACCTTCCCAGCCGCAACAGTCACCATTGCCATCGCGCCACGACGGAAGAGAAGAACCATTCGGGTGGTTGAAGGCAGCCTTAATCTTGAGCAGTGCATTCTTCTCTTCTTCCAAGCACCCCATGCTTCCACCTCCCATCAATACCAACAACACCCAAGTCCACATACACAATAAAAGACACTTCATGTTTATAATGGTGTTTTGCGTGTAATGCGTTTCTGTGCTTCACCGTGTGCAAACTTACGAGGTCTTCTACTTAATTTATATATGCAGAGTGTTTCCCTTGGGAGTGATTATCACGGTTGGGCCAATTCCACATGACAGCCGGACGAACTCATTCTGCGGGGGCCAATTCCACAGAACCCGTGATTATCGCCGCTGATTTGACCTAGAAGTTCTCCAAAAGAGAAAGATGAAGATTATAAATTGGTACTATAAAAGGATAAAAAATGATTACTATCAAAGTTAAAAGATAAAAATATGTGCCCAGGTATGCTTTGCAAATAAGATGAGCTAAATAACTAAAACATAATGTTGCTAATTTTCAGTACAGGGGTTGTTTTGCCGAGATATATAAAATAAATGGGCATTTGTTTGGACTCATTTAGAGAAAAATAAGGCAGTTTCAAACAATTTGATAAAGTGATCAAGACAATACTAATCACCATTTGGTATATCTTAAGATTAATTTGAAGTATCAATGACTGAATAATTGATTAACTATCAATGTTTTGAATGATATAAAGAATATCATGTTAAACTCGTGCAAACCATTTCTTGTTGAGAATTAAGAACATGAAAATGACAGAGAAGAAGGCAGGCACCACAGCCGATTCAATCACTGTGAAATAAAACCAAGCAAGCTCCTTAACAACAAAAAATTGAAATAATTCAATATTGAAGACAAAGAAAAGGCTCTTATATCGGTTAGAAAGTTTGCATTATCTATGTGTATCTGAAAAAAAGTTTTGCAGTGTATAAAGTTTGTAATATCTGGTATCTATTATTTCATGTATCCATATAAAAAAGGGCTTTGTGCATTATATGATGTGGGAGATTTTGCAATTAGTCTTTACCACTAAATAATTGTACATCTATTATTGTCGCCGTCATTATTATTATTATTATTATTATTATTATTATTATTATTACAAATGTTAGGTTTTGAAATTAATGTAGGTTATTAAGTATGATCATTTGTCGCCTCTTAATTGCATATTTCATGATAATCGCAATTCCTGGATCTAGGTCATAAAACATGACCTTTATTAGTCAAATATCTAAGAGATATTTCAATATTTCCTAAATATTAAGTTAACGAATGGCCATGAGATTGTTAAAAGACGTAAAATTTCGGGCCGTCTCATTATGTTTTCCTACGACGATTAATTTCCTTATGAGATGAATGATATGATGACTTTCTCCCTAAAGACTTGAACATTTTATATGGCCATTTCTCTGGATGTTCAAACTGGGTCTCAATTAGTGTCACCTCTTTGCCTCAAGGAAATAATTGATGGAGTCTGCAAAACACAAGCGGATTTTCTCTGGTAATTTTTTTTGTGCAGTTGTTCTTAAGTGAAACCAACCTTCCAAATGATCACTGCATGAATAGTAACTGGGAGTTTGCCAACGTGGCTTCGGTGTACAATTGCAGTGTAATCCACTAATGTATAACCACCATATTTATTAAAATTATAGATTAAAGATGTAGTATAATTTTATTAATTTTTCTCAACCAAATATATCGAAATAGAACAGACAAATCAATAACACAAAAAAATCCGAATTTATAAATTGATAGGTTGAGCTTATCACTTGGATTCAATATATCATGTTCTGTTTTTTTTTTCACCAAACCTATATTATGTTGAATGTTTAAATGCCTGCTTCATCTGTAGGGACTCACGTATAATTTGAGCAAGTCATTTTGGTCACTTGCGATGAAACCAGTGGGATGCTTTACTTTTTGGATAGGGATGTCCATTATAACTTGACCCATATCTCTCCCATGTGCTCTTGGCCACCTGCGATAAAAGCTGGGAAATGCTTTACCTTTATGACGGGGATGTCCATTATAGAATGTAAGTGGCAAGACCTTGACTAAATTTGTGTTTCTTTGATCCAAAAGCAATATGAGGCATTGGAAAAGAAGGTCGGCCCATTTAGCTCAGTTTCTCTTTTCATCTCGATCAAATCTTGGATTAGATTTTGCCTCTTTACCCCCGACAAAACGCTAGACTAATTACTTCTTTTTCTCATAAAGCACTCGGCCAATACTCCGAAAGTTGGTCAATGCAAGGGCGGTTGGACCCTTGTCCTTACGCGGATTTGAAAAATGGATTATAATTTTCTAAACCGTAGAGTACCTTTATCTGGCAATGTTAACCACCACCAGATCAAAATGCTCCGGTCATTTTGAGGAATTTCATTCGAAACACCATAAAATAATTTTCTCTTATTGAAGTAGAGGAGATGGTAGCGACTACAAAGGACACGACCAACGTGCAAAAGTGGCGGCCTCGGCCTCGTGTAATTCCAAATGCAAGGTTGCCCCAAGCTGGGGACGTCACATCTAAGGTTGAGGCCTCACTACACAGGCAACTTCGGCGGAGAGAGAGAGAGGGAGCAGCGATGAACACCTAAATCGTCAAGAGTAGTGGGTCGCAAGGTTCAGATAGAGTTTTGCGGCGATGGCTGGGAGACGACAGCAAAGGATCCCACTACCAATGGTGACATAAACCACAGATAGAAAGTTACGTGTGGGGTCGATTTGTGCAATTTGTTCGAGATCCAAGGAGAGAGTGAAGAAGGCAGAAGTGGAAAGGGAAAAAGAAAGAAAAAGGGAAGATCGGAATGGGGAAATATGGAGAAAAGGAAAATAATTTAGACCGTCCAATGACACATGCGGTGAGATATCAACTTCCTAAGAGGAAAATTTTAAAATATATATTTACCTCTTGATAATATTAGAGAATCTTAATTCTTTGAAATTAGAGAATCAAGTGGGTTCGCAACCCTCTAGAGATGAACTTTAAAACGGATTTATCATATTGCTAATCCTCTTAAGAGGTAGCATTAATGCATTATACAAGCTCTTCCAAACCCTGCCAATTGTAAATTGGTCTCTAATTTATTATCAATCGAAAGAAAATATAGTTGTCACTAATCTACTTTAGGCCGGTTAGGAGCCGGATAAGGCAAGAGAGGCCATCTTACTTCTATAAACTAGAAAATTCGAATTTGGAAATTTGGGTATGCTAGTTTTGCCTAATGCCTGATAGTTGTACCTTACTTATTTAACATTGATGTTCCTAAAAAAACAATCTTAACATTAAGAGTAAAAAAATTAAGTGCCGGCGGCCCCCTGTCGGCACTTAATAGTAAAAAAACAATAAGAGAAGGAAAAGAGAAGGAAAAAAAGTAAAAATAATAAAAAAATTTGTAAAAAAAATGTTCACGTCAGCATTAGTCATACCACATATGACGACTGACGTCAACGTCAGTAATTTTCGATCTAAATTGGCTGGGTGGACTAAATTGGTACCAATATGAAAATGTTTAAGACTAAATTTGTTTGATTCAAAAGGTTTATGAGTAAATTTGTACTAATGCAATAAGTTTATGACTTTTTTCATACTTTTCCCTAAATTTAACTATATCTATTTCCTCCTAGTCTCTTCTAATTCTTTTTTTTTTCCGGTCCGTTCTTTCTCTCCATCCAAACAATACAGTATCTTTAAAATCTTTCTCTCCTCTAAATAAATCCGCTCTACAAATCTATTTCTAGTGATTTTTAATTTCAATTACTTATGGCTCTCGCAGTTGAATTTTTTTTTTTCATGAAACACTCAAAACCTTTCCAAAAATGTAAATATTGATATGTAAATTTATATATAATTCTCTCATAATCTGAAGAAATTTGATTTTCTTTTTCTTATTTTCTCTCTAAGTCACAAATAGAAGTATTAAGTAGATTTTGGTCCACTTCCAAACAAGTGCGCTTCAAGTCAACTTTCTTGGGGTGCAAAATACAAACAAGTCGACCTTTTATTATGGCACAAAAGTCCGCAATTCCAATTTCATTTATACTGAGCTAATTTTGTTTTCGCTTTTTGGACTTATCCTCGTTGTGGAGATGAGTCTCATAATTAATTTATGATATGTGCAATCTACTACTACTTTAAGAATTCCATCATTTGTTCAATCACGTGTTTGTCATCAATTCACTTAATCCACTTTGTAGTTTGTAGCACCATAATATGACATTCTATTTTAATATTCCCAAACGGTAAGTAAACGATTGCTTAGAAGCAAATTTGAAAAAGAAATAATGAAACATATAACTGTGAGAGGGAGTGTGTGTTCACCGGAGAGATTATTTTCACTTAAATCCAACACCTGAAGTTCCTCTAGAGGAAGGAATAAAGAGGCGTCAATAACCCAAGGCCAAGACAAGGCGTCAATAAACGAAGGCCAAGACAGCCCCAACATCCGACCGCGTTGAGCATTCAGATATAGTCCAGTCACTCGCGAAGTGGTGTTATCGCACTCCACGCATTCCCAGCGGCAACATTCACCATTGCCATCTCGCCAAGACGGAAGAGAAGACCCATTCGGGTGGTTGAAGGCGGCCTTAATCTTGAGGAGTGCATTCCTCTCTTCTTCCAAGCAACCCATGGTTCTTCCACTCCCCATCAATACTAACGACACCAAAATCCCCACACACCATAAAAGACACTTCATGTTGATCTATATGGTGTTTTGTGAGTTATATGTTTCTCTGGTTCACCATGTGCAAACTTATGAGGCCATCTACTTCATTTATATATGCAGGGTTTTTCTCCCTTGAGTGACCATCACGGTTGGGCCAACTCCACGAAACAACCATGGGCAAACTCAAAGTCTGCTAAGGCCAAATTCCACGGAACACGTTATTATCGCCGTTGACTTGTCCCACAACTTCTCCGAAAGAGAGACGAAAATAATAAGATGAATATTATAAATTAAAAAAATGACTATTGGCAAATCGATTAAAAAAAAGTTACCAGTGATTTCACCAAAGTTATAAAGAAAAAATACGTTCCCAAGTATAGTTTCTAAAAAAAAGAGAGAGATAAATAGCAAAAACTCGATGTTGATAATTTTTAGTACAGGTGTTGTTTTACCGGGAAATATTACACAAATTGGTATTTGTTTGGACTCATTGAAGAAACAGTAAGACAATTTCGTTCAATTTGATAATGCGATCAAAGCAATACTGATGAACATTCAGTACATCTTATATCTAACCTCCAGTATCAATCAATAA